AATTTATTATTGATACTAAAGCCTCAATCAACATAATCAATGACAAAAATCCAGAATTATCCCCTTTATCATCAGGACAACCCGAAGTGTTAGCAGCCTTTGCAAGTAACCAGATCACAGCTGTATTATCAAAACCAGTGGTGATAAAAATAGAAGACTTAAAAAGGAAATGTTTGCACTAGCAAATCTAAAAGAACCTTATAACTTACTGGGAATAAACTTTCTAAGGAAATATGGATACATTATAGATCTGACCAGTTACTTGGTATGGTTTGTGCACAAAACAAATTCCTACCCCCACAAAAAATGCTCCTTTAAGATCTCAAATATATAAGCGCCCACGGCAAGCTTTTCAAAATGATTTTGTGGGATCTTTACCAAAAACTCCAAGGGAAAACCAATCCCTTTTGGTTATTATTAACCCGAGTGGGTAAAAGCATTTCCTTTAAAAGCAAATACTGTTGTAGCTACTGCAAAATCTTGACTGAACAAATATTTTCTCGCTGGGGACTCCCTGCTGGGGTAGAGTCAGACAGAGGAACACATTTTACTGAACAAGTGTTTCCAAAATGCCTACCATTATTGGAAGTGCAACAAAAATTGCATATTCCATATAGACCTCAATCATCAGGGATGGCAAAGCAAACAAATCGCACCATCAAACTTATGCTTGCGAAAACTGGTAGATGCCAGTAAATGGAACTGGAACATCCTCTCATTTTAATGGCCGTCAGGGCAACTCCAGCTGCCTCCACAGATCACACACCCTTTGAGGTTATAGCTAAACAAACTATGCGAATGCCAGAGCATCTTTTGTGGTATACCAGTGACTCAGAGGTAGAGGAAATAAAATTAAAAGCCTACCTGCAAGCATTACAAAAACATTTAGATCAAGCGAGATTGGATTGCGGCTGTCTGTGCCAGCAGCACTGTGCAACGAAATGGGACGTCGGTCAGGTCCCACCGTGTGCCAATTGGCCCCAAGCCATTGGATTAAATGGGGCAGGTCCCAGTGGGTGCCAATCGGCCCCGAGCTATTGGAGACAATGGGGCAGGTCCCAGCGGGTGCCATTTGGCCCTGACCTCAGTGGAGCTGCTCCAGCTGTGAATCCTCACTCCAAGGTCACCCCGGGGTGGGGAGAGGTTCTAGCGGGGAGCTTGAAGTGAAGTGGGGTGGGGGTTCTAGACTGGAGTTCAACTCTTGCTCGGGGAAGGGGCAGAGGTTCTAGACTGAAGCACAGAGGTCGATAAGAAGTGAGGGGGTTCTACACTGGAGTGTGGAACAGAGTCAGGATGGGGTGTGGGTTCTAGATTTGAGCCAGGTGCACACTCCAGATGGGACAGAGGTTCTAGATAGGAGCCACATGAACACGGAGGCAGGGGTTCTAGATCGGAGCCGGGTGCACACTCAGGAGGGGCAGGGGTTCTAGACTGGAGGCTGTTACACACTCGGGGAGGAGGGGTTCTAGATTGGAGCCTGGCACATATGTGTGGGTTCCATACTGGTGCTCAGCAGGGGCAGATTTTCCCTCTGGAAAGCGCCCTGCAGGGATTGGCAGAAACGCAGAACCACCTTTGCCAAACCAGACGGCGTTTCGCTAGGATCCAGGACTGACGGAGGTTTGGGGTGGGTCCAGGACAGAGAAATGTAACCGAGAGCCCCACGCCAGCAGCATCTCTGCCCCCTACAGCCTTCTGGGGACATTGGGATGAAGGTTTGGCTTGTGATGGTCCCAAGCTTCCCCTGCTGGCGCAGCCACAGCTTGAGAAATAAACGACCCTTGTGGCCAGGGTGGTGGAACAAGAGCCGTGGGGCCGGCAGCCTCCACTCCTGAGGGACCAGCCACTGGTGGCCTTGTCTGTGGCAGGGAGTGGGGAGCAGGCCAGGGCTTCCCTCCTGATCCCCTCACCCTTCCTCTGGGGGCAAAGGGACCCCCCCAGGAGAATGTGGCTGGGATCCGGGTGAGAAGGAGGGACCAGGGCAGAGCGAGGATGCCCAGTGGGCTGGACAAGAGGGGGTAGAGCAGCACAGTGATGGGGTCTCCGTGGGGATGCAGAGAAGGTATTTCTGGCAGTTTGGGGGAGAGCAGGGGGCAGGGTAGGGGGCAAGGAGGAGAGCAGGAAATGTGGGTGTTGCTCGGTCTGCCCCGCAGTCCCTCAGCTTGGTCCCTGGCTCCCAGCCTGGCCGCCCCTTCCCAGGAGGGGAGCTGTGACCCCTGAGGATCCCTTCCCCTGGGCCCTGGCCACCTGGAGCAGGGCCCCAGGGCACTCAAGTTCCTGTGGAGCCAGGTGCCCAGGGGCCAGCGGGGGGAATCGGGTTTCTATGTTTACTATGGTTCCACGTGTTCTTTATGGTTTCAAGTGTTTTCTATGGTCCTGGGGTTTGGCACCAGATCAGTCGCCTTTCATTCTATTTAACGTCAATCACATTTCCTTGGGTTCAGCTCTGGTGGCTACAGTCTCAGGTTCAACAGAATTGTCTGACTGTTCTCACTGGTACCAGATGACAGAACAAGGAGTAATGGTCTCCAGTTGCAGTGGGGGAGGTTTAGGTTGGATATTAGGAAAAACTTTTTCACTAGGAGGGTGGTGAAGCACTGGAATGGGTTACCTAGGGAGGTGGTGGAATCTCCTTCCTTAGAGGTTTTTAAGGTCAGGTTTGACAAAGCCCTGGCTGGGATGATTTAGTTGGGAATTGGTCCTGCTTTGAGCAGGGGGTTGGACTAGATGACCTCCTGAGGTCCCTTCCAACCTTGTTATTCTATGATTCTATGTCTCTGTTCTAGATTTGGGACCCACAGGAACACAGGAAACCATAGGCAAGTAACACATACAATTACAAGAGCTTAAAACTTATCTTTTAGTAGTTTTATTAAAGTTGCCAATATAATCAAAAACTTTACCGCACATATAATTCCAAATCAAGATATGTGCCATGCACTAATTATAACTATAGACATAATTACATCCTCCTAGGTGGCGTTAGAATCTGTCGGCCCTCTCAAAATCTGTCGGTCCTCGCATGGATTGATTGTCAATATGGGAGTGGTTTCTGCTGGAGTTTCCCATAGGAAGCTCAATTTGCCTTCTTTGGGCATCCTTTTTGATACTGTGACTCTGTCTATATCTATAGTCTGCACATGTACATGACAGCATCGTCCCTCTCTTTCTTATTGGTCTATATTCCCTGCAGACACGAGGGACCCCAAATTCTATAGGCTGGGTAGGTCGATGTACCGCCTTTGTCTTGTGGTTTAAGGCACGTGTTATAAGCACATTTTGTTGTTACAGAATTTTTATGATTTAAATTTAACTTTCCCACTTTTATTTTCTCAATATTACCTGTTTCTGCCTCTTTTCTTAGAATTTTAGGGGATCAGGTCATTTTTAGGTCGCCAGCTTGTATCCAAGGCGTAAAATAGATAAGCTAAAGTCTATCAGCCGGCCTCAGCCTTCAGTCTTCTTGTGTTTCAGCTTGTCTGACTTATTACCTAGTTCCTCGAAATATTGCTTAATCTTATACTATTATAATCCTATAAATCAATTCTGATTAACATATAATGAGCATATAGAATGTAATCGTAACATCACACGATAAATGAATACCAAACTGTAATCATTGGCTACACCCGATAGATGGTCGAGTTCCTCAGTACATAGGCTGGGATTCTCCTTTGCAGCCTGGAACCATCTCCCCTGTTCACAGTCTTTGTTCTACCACCTAGGGAGGTGGTGGAATCTCCTTCCTTAGAGGTTTTTAAGGTCAGGCTTGACAAAGCCCTGGCTGGGATGATTTAGTTGGCGATTGGTCCTGCTTTGAGCAGGGGATTGGACTAGAACCTCCTGAGGTCCCTTCCAACCCTGATATTCTATGATTCTCCAGACGTGCTTCCAGATGTTGAGTTGTGGGGGGCGAGAGGCCAAAAGTCACTTTCCTTCCTTTATAGGTTCTTCCAGCTTGCTGGAAAGATCTTTTGCTATGACATGAATCAAGCCGTGTCCATCGTCTACGGGCTCCCTCTGAGAAGCCTTCATTGAACACATGTGATAATCCTTGGGAGTGTGCATTCCCCTTAATGGGCCATCAGCACTGTCTGGCTTCTACACTGTTGTCCCTGAAAGACTGGTTGTGGGTGTTCCCAACTTCACAATATTTTCCAGTGACACACACCAAGCACAACTTCATAACTGCCCATACAATGACAGCACATAGAATCCACCAGAACATTAATGTTGAACAGATCAAGCCTTTGTGAATGATGCCTCACAAGACACAATGTGTACACAACATAGCATAATTATATCACCATGGTAAATATGGGGGTGCCAGGGTGCTGCTTTGGAGCACAGAGGGCCACAGCGCCAGACACAGGGACAGAGATGTGAGGCCCCAGGCCTTGCTCATGAGGAGGAGAATCAGGAACTTCACCCTGTCACCACCAGCGTGAGACAAACCAACCCCACCCGGACGGGGCCAACGCTCCAGCCTGGAGTCTGCCCTGGCCGGCCTTCACCACTGCCCATCCCCCACTGCTTTTTGCCCTGGCCCATCTCTCACCCACATCTGTACTAGCCCTCATCACCTCCCCTCCCTCTCCCCATCTGCCCCGCCACCTCCCATCCCCCACCATGTCTGCCCTCCCCCTGGCCACCTTCCATCCCATTCCCCTGTCTGCCCCACCCGTCCTGGCTCAGCCCCATGGAGTTTTCTTTCAAGGAAATATTGAATGAAGTAGCTGAGTCCCACTTCCCCTGCTGCTGGACTGGGCACGGGGACAGCAGGAGTGGGCACCACCCCTCTGCAGCAAGGGAGGGGGGAGAACGGGGCTATAAGAAGAGGGGCTGGGAGCTGAGAGCCCATCACTGGGGATCCGGTGTGAGCCTCTGTCAGTGAGTGACAGCACCCCCTGCTCCGGCACCATGGAAACCCTAGTGAGTCCTCCCTGACCCCACCTCCTCCTGCCCCATAGAAACCCTGGTGAGTCCCTGCTGCCCCTCACCTCCTGCCCCATGGCAACCCTCATGAGTCCCTCCCGCCTCCTCCTGCCCCACAGAAACCCTGGTGAGGCATCCCCCCCACCTCCTACCCCATGGAAACCCTGGTGAGGCATCCCCCACACCTCCTGCCCCATGGAAACCCTGGTGAGGCGTCCCCCCCACCTCCTGCCCCATGGAAACCTGGTGAATCCCCACCGCCTCCTCCTGCCCTATGGAATTCCAGGTGAATCCCCCTTGTCTCCCACTCCTGGCCCATGGAGCCCCACAGAAGACCTGTCTGCCATTCACACCCCACCCCATCAATCTCCACCAGGCTCAGGGGCGCTGACGCTGACTCTGTGGGGTCCTGTGCAGGTGTCAGGATGGCTGCCCAGGGCTGGACTCCTGCTGCTGCCCCTTCTCCTCTGCTTTGGGCCAGAAACTGTCGGGAGCATCAACCCAGCCGCGCTCAGAGACATTGTGGATCATGCACATAAGTGAGTGAGCATTTCCCATGTGACCCCTCTGCTCTCCCCGGGTGGTAAATGAAGGAAGATGCTTCACATTTGCCCTATGTGATTTTCTATGGCATAGGTGGCTCAGTGCATGGCAGAGCTGGGAGGGGTGATTCTGGGGTGCAGGGGGAGCTGGGGCTTGGAGCTGGGAGAGGGGTGATTCTAGGGGTGCACGGGGGTGGGAGGTGGGTCTCATTACTATTGTTAAAAACTGGTTGGAAACTGGAATTCCAATTCCCTTGGAAATTCTAAAATTTCTATTTTCTTTTCAGTCCGAATTAGTACTAAACTTTGAAAACGTCCACGGAATGGGAATTCCAAATTTTGTTTTGGAAAAATTAAAAACAGATTTCAGTTGGACCATATCTGAATATTTCATTTCAGTAAGATCAAAATATTTCCATTTCAGCTTTAGCAACTTGAATTTCCTGCTTTATAATATAATATAATATAATATAATATAATATAATATAATATAATATAATATGAAAGTCCAGATGTTTTCACCTGTATATTATAAATAGTAATATAACGTAACAAAAGTAAAACAAATAAAGTCATAACCAAATGTTCCAATCTAAACAAATTGTTCTGATAATTTTTCATCAGAAAATTACACAAAATCGATGTATTCCCTTGGAACGTTTAGATTTTGTAGAATCAGCCTTTCCCTAAGGAAAACTCTTCTGTCAGAAAAATTTTGACCAGCGATAGTCATGTGCTTGCTGTACACTCCCTTTGGAATAAATGAGGACCAGATACCTTGCACCCAAGACTCTGAAAAGATCTGGCCTGGTGGATAAGTGCCCCCCAGTATTATCAGGTTGAGGATGTTAGATTTGGACATGGGAGGCTGAGCATTAGCATGAATATTCACGATAGCGCTCAGGTCCTATAATAGGACAAAACACCATGAACCCGGCTTCATTCCCACCCCCTGCTCCAGAGGCTGGGGGCTGCAGAGGGAGGGGGAGCTCAGCTTAGAGGATGAAGGTCTCAGGGCTCACCCTGCCCCCACGGGTGACACCTGTGCTCCCCCAAGCCCATGCTGTGTACACCCAGAGCAAGATTCCCTTTCAGTAGATCATAGCTAAGGCGAAGGTGCACTGGGCTGGGAGCCAGGAGCTCTGCTGCCATGTCTGCTGTCTAGTGCTCATCACAGCCCTTGTTACTGATTTGTTACCTGCACACTCCACCCACCTTTACCCTTCCATGGGCTCAAGGCGTAACCCGGTTCATTTAGGTACCCCTGTGCTTTCCCAGTTCCTAGGGGTCAGGGAGTAATTTTCTGCAGGTTTGTGGGGCCTTTTACCAGTGAAAGAGCCTTGTACAGTCATATCCTTAACCTCTATTTACGAACAGTTACCAAAACAGAACACACAGGGGAAGCAGACAATGCTCACCGCTCCCAATAAGGCAGACGGACTTTTCCTGGGGGCCAGCCAGTGTCAGGTCATCTGGCGCTCCAGCTGCTGCATTGAGGGCTGGCAGGGTGCTGAGGTCTGGCAGCTCTGATCTTGGGCTGTGCCCTGGAGTTAGCGTCCAAAGAACTTCCTTCTTTTTGGACACCAGTTTCTATAGTGAAACTTGAGTCCTGCTTAGCTGTACCTGACCCAATCATTGTAAACTGAAATACTACAAAATCGTGTTTTTCACCAATCCTAGCTCATTACAAAACAATTCTTTACCCAATCATAACCAGCCACCTTAATTGATTTAAATCTTGCAAAATTAGTTATGCAACTGACAGAAACAATCAAAGAACCAGGCAAAGTCCATCTAGATAAACAGTAGAGAAGTGGGGGACTATAAAGGCAAAACAATAGAAGTACAGATTGAACAATGACAACTGCTGATAAATGGTTTCTTGCCAGACTGCTGAATGCTGTCAAACAAAGTTTTGATTAAAGATATTAAGACCTGGTGATGGTGGGGACTGTTAGGACAGAAGCGCCTCCTTAACAGCCCGATGTTGCATTGTTTTTTTATAATTTAGAAGGAATATGAGGATGTGACTCTCTGTTTCCTGGCTCACGGCTGCCACTGTTTATTGCCGAAAAAGGCCTCAGACCTTACAGATTAGTGCCCTGTCCTCAGTCAGTTATGAGCCCCCAACCATCCCCAGTTCAGTTGCACAAGGCCACTTCAGGCAGAGGTAGGATGAGAACCCAGCTCTCTAACGTAGCAGACACAGAGCCTTTCACACTGAATGTGCCACATATATGTCCACTGTTATCCTCCCTTTAACCACAGTCACAGTCCCCTCCCAGAGCTGGGGGGAGAAATGAGGAGCCCCGATCTCCAGTATTCTTCAGCTCTCCAGCAAATCGCTGTGTATCCCGGGGCCAACTGTGTGTCACGTCCCTCTCTTGGGGTGGCTCCGCATAAAAGCTCCGGCTTGCTCCTGGAGCTCAAGCGGTAACACTCAGCCCTGTGGCGCTGAGAGACCAAAGCTCACACCAGGCTGATGATCCCTGGGGGCACCTGTGGCAGTTTCTTCTTAAAATCACCCTCCACGTTTATTTCATTCTCCCAGGGAGCAAACATCCCCTCACCCAGGCTGGAGCCCTGAGAGCCTAGAACCGGCCAGTGACGGCGCCATGTGTGACCCAGCCCAAGTTTGCCCTTCAGGGCTGGGGGCAGAGCAGTTCAGAGCCCCCCGTCTCCTCACTGCCCTTTGCTTTGCCTTCCCTTAGGGATGGGTTGGCTGTTGAATACACCTTCGCCGTCAGCCTGGAGAAAGCCAGTTGTGAGAACCCATCTGGTCTGGAACAGATGCTGCACAGGAACAAACTGCAGGACATGCAGGCGGCCATTAACCCAGAGGGTGTCCTGCATGACCCAGACGAAGGGCCCATTGTGGCTGCCCGGATGAAGCACCTGGGCAGGGGAGGGGAACACGCCGAGTGGCACCTGCTCCAGGGCGACCAGAACAGCCCCGTGCAGAAGCTCCTAGCCCGGCCCTACAACGAGAGAAGCTGCCTGATCTTCTTCACCGTCCACTCGCCCTGCGCGGGGACGTGCCTGCTGGTGAAGAGGCCCCACAACATCCTACAGATGGTGAGCGACACCTTCCGCCCCATCGACAACAACTACAAGGTCTTCGTCTTCCGGCAGATCTACCGCCAGGACCGGGACTTGGATCCCCAAAGCCTGCTGGAGGCCTGGCACCGGCTGCCCAACATGCCCCTGCTGCACTGCGACGCCAAGGGCTGCAGGGACTGCAGAGGGAACGACCCCAACACCGACACCAATGCCTGCCTGGATGAGATGCGAGCCATGAGGCAGCCGCTGCACCTACCTGGCAGGGGGCAGAGGGGAGAGCAAGGGGTAGAGGGGAGAGCAGAGGATGTAGGGGAGAGCATGGGGCCCCTTCAGAGCGCTGGGGAGATGGTGGGGCAGGGGGCACCATTGGAGGGTTGGGGGAACGGCAGGGCCGGTGGTGCCATCATAACATTGGGGGGATGGCCGGACATTGAGCTTCATCGGAGGCATGGGCGATGGAGGGGTGGGGGGCACCGTTGGGAGTGTAAGCCATGGTTGGGCATAGGGCGGAATCCATGGTGTGGAAGACGGTGGGGCAGGAGGCTTGGGGGATGGCGGGGCTGAGGGCGCCACTGGAGGGTTGGGGGGATGGCGGGCCAGGGGTTGCCATTGGGGGAAAGGGGGATGGAGGGTTAGGAGGTTCCATTGGAGGGTTGGGGGGGCTATGGGGCAGGGGACACTGTCAGGGGTTGGGGCAGCAGCCACCGTTGGAGGGTTCAGGGACATGGGGGGATGCAGGGAATGGAGGGGGTGGGACATTTCTTCTCTCAAGGCCTGTGATTTTGCAGAGTCCCCCCATCCTGAATGATTAGCACGAATAAAGTGTTGGAGCCTCCTGGAGCCTCGTGTCTCTGTCCATGTGTCTGTCTCCCTCCTCTCTGTCCGTGCGTCTGGACTTTACTCAGTGTGGGAGGCCCCCCAGTCTCCCTGGCAGTGCCCCCTTCATCAGGCCAGGCCTGGCCCCCCACTTTTTGCCTGGGGCTCCCCCTGAGCCCAGACCCCTGGCACAGAGTCACCCCTTGGGAGAGAGGCAGGGCACCCTTTGCCAGACACCCAGCTCGCTATGGAATAACCTGGCCATCTCCTGCCATCTGCTGGTGATGTGGAGATAGACACATGAAAAACACAATGGGCAGACCTCAGTTTGGGGCTCCAGCACTGGGCGCACGTCCACCTGCAGTGGGGCATGTAGGTGCCCCATCACTCCGCGGGGACCTGCAGCTTCTCGGACTGACAGGACAAGGTTCCAGTCAGCGGCTGGAGGCTCTGAGATGCTGCGCTGGGGATGGGGGATGAGAACAGGGGGCAGGAGAGCCAGTTAGACAGAAACCTGGGCCTGCCCTGGCTTGGTGAGTCGTACATGCCTGTTCGTTTCTTCAGCTTCTCTCCTTGAGTCAGATTCACCTGCTTGTTAACCAGGCAGGGATCCGCTGACGTGGACAGATGTGTGACAAAGGCCACGGCTAGGGTCAGGT